ATAGAAATTACGGTTGTCTCGATCCAGTTTATTAAGCATCATCATAACGTTATCACCACCTGCCCAGTTACCCTTTTCTGGTACACATATACCGCATTCTTCGCCATTATCTATTGGCGCGACGACCGGAGCAACAGTATCTTCTTTAGGAAAGAAAAATAGAAAATACCAATGAGATAAACACACCTATTTTTATACACTTACCATGTTGCTGATTGATTTTGTCAGATACCACCTGTGATGATACCGAAGAGTTAGTGAACGTATTAAATACACCATGGCTATCGCATCCGGCTCGAGAAAAAACAAGTTGTGATTTCCACAGTTTATACGTTTCAATTAGCTGTTTGCTGCGGGATTTTTTCGTGATACCAAGAATATGTCTTTGATCTTTCAAATGAGAAGAAAAAATCGTTTTGTTAAAACTCTTATTTTCTTACCAGAGTCGACAATTCGCAAAGGGCCGTGTAATTTGAGTGCACTTTGTAGCAACTTTTTGCGCGTAAGGAGGAAACTGAAGAATACATGAAAATAGCAAAACAACAAATCACTTGCGTCGTTTTTTGGTACCTTTTTCGGCCGTTTATAAAATCGTCGTTTGTGATTGGAAAGTATAGAGCATTGTTATCAGGCTCTTTATGAACGCTAGAATCATCAGTATCAAGTGGATATGGATGCACACACACGGTGGATTCCATATCATTCGGCACAGTGACAGAAGCCACGCGAATATATTGAGGTAGAGTACCATTACGCCACTCTTCTAGTATCTAATTAAGAAAAATAAGAAAATATTTTTCTGTATTTTAGCAGTACACATATTTGTTTCGAAATATAAAAGAGAAAAGTCACAGTTAAATAACGCAAGAAAGAATCGAGAAGCAGTTTACTCTAAGTTTGAAGGATAGAATATTTAAAATGCAGCTCAATCTCTCAAGTTTCATAGAAGAGTTTGTGAAAGCAATCGAAGCGCACTCTAAAAATATCGGTACTGTGACAGATCCTAACGGGAGTTCACAGTTTTTTACTATCGAATACGTTTTAAGGATTTCCGAGCATCTGAACAATCTTTTGTCTCAAATCCAGTTTACCCCGTTCCGAAAATTTTTGTATTGTCCTGATACCAGTTTTTAATCCAAAAAATATTCGAGACTGTCCCGCAAGACTCTCAAGAAATGATAATAGAATTTCCGAAGTAGATCCTGACTTTTGTTCTGTATAGTAATCAAAATCGAAATTTGTATTGCTTTTTCTTACCTCTATAGTTGGATATTCGAGCTTCAGCTGGTTATCTTCAGCACGAATATAACGTTGAAATCGATTTCCAGTTTCACATTGTTCGCTGCCATATCGCTCACGATAGAGTGCCTTGGGTTGTGCAATAATTCGAAGTTGCTGAGTTGATTGAGTCATTGCTGAAACCTGGTTTGATTAGTTGGTGAGAAGTTTGTAGAAAAACCCGCTATCGGTGACAGTGGATACAGCAAGACTAATATCGGTGTTGAACTATTAGTATTTTGAGATGGAGAATCGCCAGACAGAGATTCAGGATCTAAATGAAGTGAAACGATACAGAATTGATAGAAGTCACAATAAAAAACTAGTCTCGTACTCAAGTGGATATTGCAAATAAACTTGGGTTGCTTGCGATATTCAGGTGATTCAATCCTGCGGGTGGGTGTAGATGTTGGTTTGATTGGTTGAAAAATATATACTCATAACCACACCTACACCCTTACAATGGAGATAGTAGTTTTCTTCAAAGTCCGTTCACACGGGGTACAGAATCTGACTAATGATTTAATCATGCTCAATATCAGCTGGAACGGGTAGACTAGTCCCGTTGAGGGTCCAGCCACACAGGGAAGAAAAGCTGATTATATTTCCAGTCAGGCTCTGCATCATTTGGAACTAGGAGACCAGTTTAGTTGAGGACCCTGTCACAAGAGGATAGAAACCTGAATGAATACCCAATTAGACTGAGCAGAAATTGAAGTTGGTATCCTGGTTGGATTGTGCCGGTCGGAGCACTTTGAATAGAATGTGATTGCGTATTTAATTCGACGAAAGATTAGTGAAGGTAACAGTCGTACGTAATTACGGATGATCGAAAATGCAGCCCAAGAATACTCAATTAGGATATAATGTGATATGCTCCTGCGTTTGTTGTAGAGGTTTGATCTGTTACTTTTTATGATAGTTTGAAGATGAAGTGCGAAGTCTCAGAACTATTGTTCGCTTTTAATCGAGTTTAAATACAGGGTGACACGTAAGTAACTTTACCCAAAGAAAATTGAATATCTCCATAACGGTTCAAGCAAATAAGCTAATTTTTTTATCAATGATAGAGGCATATTCAATCTTTATTTCCATAATGACATGCGTGGGGAGACTCTTTGCTAAGTATCAGTGCTGGGCTCAACAAATAAAATTTTACTTTTTCACAGATAGGAAAAAAACGATATACAGAGTGCGCAAAACTGACTTTTCGGGAAAAAAGAATTGAATATCTTCACTATGGCTCAGACAAACTGGCTGATTTTTTTTATCCATGATAGAGGCATGTTCAAGCTATATATTCACAAAGACATGCCTGGAAATATCCTTGGTTAAGTATACTGTTTCTTTTCCTACTTGTGAAAAAGTAAAATTTTCTTTATTGAGGCCAATAATAATATTTAACAAAGAGTTTCTGCAAGCATGTCATTATGGAAATAAAGCTTGAATATGCCTCTATCATTGATAAAAAAATTAGCTCATTTGCTTGAACTGTAATGGAGATATTCAATTTGTTTCGGGTAAAGTTACCTACACGCCACCCTGTAGATTATGTGTTGTCATTGGATAAATTTGATGATTCAAACAAATCTCAATAGCTAGTAATATAGTTACATTACATCTTAACCCTGGAACGGTATCCTTATTTTATCACATGAATGGTCTTTGTGGGTTCAGAGAGAACTAGTGGCGTATCCAAGGCCTGGCATGGCCTGGCACTGCCAGGCCACCGGTACTTTTTGCCAGGCCACCGAGAAAAACTTTACTAGGTATTTTATTTTTTTTTATACTGTCGATGAAGTTACATAAGACTATATCTCTGATAATGAGTGATATCTGAAGAATACTATAAATAACTGAACAAGTCAATAGGCAGGGGCGTAAACTCTTAACTTTTCAAGTTTTAAAAGAAGGAAGGCGCAGCATCCTTTTTGCTTAAATCTAACGCAAAAAAACGTGTAAAAACCCTTTTTTTGATTTTATAAATCAAAGAAAAACTAAAATTTTCCCAGAACAAGGAGGTATAGTGTCCCATGCGTCGACCTCACTCAGTAGACCCTTTGTTTCGCGTTAAATTAATCTTTTTTTAAAACACAGAAAGATCACAGATTGATTTTGAATCATCAGAAAATTATCAAGTGATACACAGGGCTGTCGCAATGTTAAAGATTGGGGGAGGTCGGAAAATTTCGAAAATACTTCAGAAACTTTTGCAAACTACCAAAATTTTTAGAAAAACTAGAGATTTTTTGAAAATTTCTGAAAGTTTTTGTAAGTTTTTCGCGATTTTCGAAAACTTTTCCAAAATTTTTCTAAATTATCGGAATCCGTTTGAAGACTTCGGGAAATTTTCAAAGACTTTCTCAAAAACTCATCCAGAAGTTTTGACAATTTCTAAATAATTTTGAAAAAATGGTGAGCAATAAAAACAAAATTTCCAAAGATTGGGATGAATACCGCCCCCACCTCCCTCCGATCGCGACACCCCTAAGGATATGGTAGGTTTTAGAAATTTTGTAAGGCATTGCCAGGCCACCGATCAAATCCTGGCTACGCCACTAGAGAGAACCACATAAAAGTAAGTTATATACACTTGATTTTTCATCAATTCTGCAGTAGATGCGGTTTATTATACCTTATACCATACTTTTTATCAAAGCGTGAATATATTAGTATGCCTGTGATGTATAAAAACGACGGATTCTTTTCATGAAAGTTTTTGAAAAAAGGTTATGATAAGATTTTAATTTTAAAATGTTACTGAATGAATATAACAAAATCGTCAGAAAAATATTTAAGAAAGTAAATGATTTACTATTAATAGTGTTGTACTAACGAATCTGGATTCAGTAAACTCTAAAAAAAATAGATGACAGGCGGAATATGTATTAAAACCGATTATATAACATCAAAGGTGTCGGGGGGGGGGGGGGGGTCCGTGTAGACCCACACTTCAGTTTTCTAAACGTAAGGCTTTAGTACGAAGTTCAATATGGTGTATGTCCATCGTCATATGACTAACGATTAGCAGAGTGATGGCCCGAAAATGATGCGTCTTCGTGTAGAAAAATCAAAAAAATAGTGTTGTGGGTCTTGTCGAACCCAAAAAAACCGTTCAAGGGTTAACAGAGGAGCAACTTTCAAGATAAAAAATTACCCTTCGAATGGTTTATGTTAAATGGAAGTGGTATAGTAATAATTACCGTAAGTTAATATCTAAGCACGATCGGAGTCTAGAACAAAACAGTCGAATATACTTGTTTTGAATTTTAGCGAAAACAAATAACTAAACTAATATGTAAAGAGCATATACTTTTGTATATTTTTGTCTGTATGATTCAGCGATGCATAAACAGTTATTTTCATATTCTCTCGTTATCTTTTATTTTAACTCCGAAATTGGTATCTCTGATTTTTTTCCACTTTATGGTAGGTATCTATTACATTTCATTTATAACAAAGCAGAAGAAAGACCTTTAAAAAATAAATACGATTGATTGCAAAAAAGCAATATAAAAAGTTATCTTTTAACATGTAATATGATGTTGATCATGAAATGAGAAAAAACAAAACACAATTCGCATCTGAAAATCACAAAAAATCAAAAAGAATTCATCAGAATCTACCTTTATTCAAGATAGATTGAATATATATTAAACACTTGTTACATGATGCATAGTCTATTCAACATATTCTAATTGTACTATGTAACGAAAAATAATAAGAAACTGGAGAAATATGGTTACCAATACTCTCCGTGTTGATGTACTGATTCATTAATATTATTCTTATTATAACAACATATGAAACAATATGTACTATTATGTTAATATTCAGTTTTGGTTACTTCTAACTAACTAACTTCAACATCATATATATCAAAAGATTATTGAAATTTTTCGAGTTATAACAGCAAATTAGTTCAATATATATTTTCCTTAATTTATACTATCTTGCACTAATTTATACACATTGATTAATATATGAATATGCATATTAAAGTAGGAAAAGAAATTCTATCGGAAAGAGTATTAAGATTGATTCATAATACAATTGCATACGATGGCATTTATTTGTGTTAATAACTTTTAGATTAGCATAAATCATCGTGAAATTTGAGGGTGTATACAAAGATATAGATACTACGAGTAGTTTCAATCTTGCTAAAGGGTCATCTTCAGGTGGTATATACTTCTACATAGATCTAATATGCTGTTATTGGTGCTCATCTTTAAACAAAATAAAAATATCTGATTACGAAAAATACGTTCAATAATAAGACTTACATCAAATTAAGTGATATTTGATTCGTAAGTAAAATAATATTGTTTCAAGGAAAGTAAATCGAAGAGTATTTTATCTACAAGAATAAAGGAATGTGTACCGATTATTGAACCAGTATAGAGCTGTATAGGAATACATGTTTCTATAAGCCTTTATTCTTTCAAAAAAAATTGCGCCTATACTGTATTTTCTTCGTCCTTTATATAGTACTTGGAATAATACAGTCACGCACTGAGATATATATATATATATCTTAGTATAAAACTAATGTTTATAATGTAAGTATCATTCAGTGAGATAATGGGTTAGGTCTAAAGCATAAGAAGAGTTTATATAAATAGAAGGAATAAGTATATAAGATATTTAAATATCATGCATGGTTTGATACATAAGTAAATAGGAGAAAAATAATGTAAGATATGGATGATATGATGTATCAGAGGATGACAAGCATATATTCTTTTTATGGTATAAGCATCGGTACGAAGAGGAGGGAGAAAGAAAAGAAGAAGCGAGAGATGTGTTTTTCAAGGACAAATATCTTAGTACATAAAAAAGAAAAGAGAACGTATACAATCTTTTAGATTGTCACAGAATGGTATAGTTATTAAAGAATGAAAAAACAATAACAAAGATATTTAATAACAAAAGAATAGAGAGCAATCAATTATATCTATACTGGTGGTGTTAGTGTGAATAAATAAAAGACAGACTAACCCTATGTCTTGACGAAGAGATGAGTTCAATCTGCTATTCCCAACTCTTGCTTTTCAGCAACAAATTAAAAGTCGAGTGAATTCCAAAAATATGTCGAAATATCAATCAGATTAATGCAGAGGTAATTTCACCAACGCGCTTCGTGTTATTTCTTTAATTTGGTAATGCTCGTCAAGGCTCTGCATTACAGTTTTGAGTACAAAAACGATAAAAGAGATAGAAAAAGATCAGAAATATACGAAAAAAGACGAGTGTGGACGTGGGTTTGAGTTTAAAATAAGCGCAAAGCTCGCATCCAGATCTACATTTGCACCACACACCACAACCAGCAAGTTTCCATAAATAAGTGACTGATGATAAAATGAATCGTAAATAGCTATTTGATATACATGGAAAACTATTCAACAGACGGCATAGCCATCCTATAGATTTCGTGAGTCTTGCACCAGCTTTTATCCTTGATGCATCATACAAAAATCTAAAGCCTTGCTGAAAACAACAATTAACAAGTCATACTCACTGATCACAAGCTCGAAGAGATAGAAAGATTTGCACACAATATTCGTACACGCTGCACTTGTTGCTATGAAAAAGAAATGAAATAAGAATCAAGGGAAACAAACTCTATGGTAGCAAAGAAAGTTCTTTTCTATACATTTTTTTTCTTAAAATGCAGTGTAATCCACCAGTGGTCATATCTTCTTAAATTTGTTAATGAATGAATTAAAAATTTCAATAAAAACAAAAAACAAAGATATTTAGTTGTCTTCTTGATGAGGTAATATGTGTTCATAGATTCGAATGTGATTAGATTGAAAAATCATAGCTTAAGTGTTAAGACATTATTATCTCAATTGTCTGTCACATAGGTAGGCTATGTCAAAGTATAGTTCAAATAAAAGCCTATTTTGAAAGCAATGAAAGAGACGTATATATTATATTCAATATGATAATTATAAGAATTTTTTTTAAACTAATAGTTAATTTAATTTGTCTGAAACGAAATAAAAATCAAATAAACGATATATTTTTGTAGAGAAATTGATTTTCATAATGACTTGTAGTATCTTCTAGTTTCCATTGATACATATTCAATAAATTGCAAATAGAATATATTAACATGAAGAAAAGAAATATATTAAAAGACAATAAATGACTTTTTCAGTTTGTTATAACAACAGATCTACCAAGAACATCAGATATATATTAAAATATAGTTCTTGAGATTAGATGTCGGCGTCAGCTATTATAACATTCCATACCCGCACCCTATTTTATGTCTTTGAATGTGTATATAAGATAAATTTTATTCATCACAATGTTTTATTTATAATTAAATTTTAAATATAATAGTAAACACAAAATAAAACGAAAGAAATAATTACATATATATATATATATATATATATATGTACTTTATTGTCTCAATTTTCTTGTCCTTTATCTCTCAGAATCTATGATAGATTTGTACAATAAAGATGAAATAAATGATATGATTAAGAGAAAATAAAAAATATTTATTATTTTTTCAAGATTCACGAATAAAACAAGGATCAATATAACATCTAAAAATAATGAATAGATATTTAATTAGAACAAAATCAAATAGAAATAATTTACTTTTTAAAATCTTCAATTTCTTTATCAAGTGCATCCATTTCATCGACATCATTAATTTGTCAAATTTGTATATCATCAAAATGTTCTTTAAAATCAGAAAGAAAATAAATGAGACCAAAATTAAGAGATAAAATAAATTAGTTTATCCATCTTAGTTCATCTGCCTACTCTACTGTTATTTTAATCTTCTGAAATATTTCAACCGAAATTCTTGGATTTGATAAAAACAAAATTGTAAATTCTATTACACTATTTGCAATATAATGTCATATTCTACATCTAAAGTATATGATGACGGGGGCGGATCTTGAGGGTGCGGAGGGTGCGGCCGCACCCCCCTTTAAAGCCGATTTTATGCTAACTTTTAGCAGTTTTCCGCAGAAATATTGAGTTTGTATTGTATCCGCACCCTCATTTGCTCAACCGCACCCCCCTTCGAAAATTCCTGGATCCGCCACTGATTTATACTATCTTGCAATAATTCATAAACATTGATCAGTATATGAATATTGGTAAGTACCAGGACTTTACCCAGAAAATCAGAACTTACATGAATTCATATACATTCTAATTTCTTCATGTCAGAAAATTCATTCTCACGTACTGAATTATCTTGTCTTCGATAAAAATAATTCTTTTGACTCTGATTATGAAGACTAGACGTATATACACTGTCGTTTATCATAAAATAGCAACCAAGTAGTTTTGAAAGCTTCTTAATCCCTCTGTTCCTCTCAACAATACTATGTATTTAAAAATCTTTCTTCTTGAACTACAACTAATTTATTGTATATTTCGATTCCATATAAAACTTTATAAGTTAAATCAAAAGACCATATTTGTATCTGTAGTAAGATCTAATGATAGTTTGAATATATTATACTGAATATTCTGATGTATTTTAGTTATTATAAAACCTTTTTGAGAGCAAACACCAATACAAAGATGCATCCTCTCAATTTGACTCTTAATACTAACAGAATCGAAATCATGAATGAAGTCTTAGTTTAGGTTCGGTATTTCAAAATATAGAATCATTTGTCTTTTCATTAACAATAAAATCTTTTTTTTATTTGTTCAAATTAAAACCTGTGTGCATGTGTTGTATTTTTGATTGCAGAAAAAAAAGAAAAAAAAGCGAGATATAAAATACATTAGAAAGACATACACACGCACACATGCACGCACACACACACACACGGATATTTGTGTCTAAAAGTATAGAAATATTTAAATAATGATAAGAAAAAAGAAAGAAAGAAAGAGAAAAAAAGAGATTACATTCTGAAGTTGAAAAATGTATAATAATAATTATAATTTATTTTATTTAAAATGAGAAGAAGATTAAATAGTAACTGAGAGACTGCTATACAAAACATCCTTCTTCTTCTTACTGTTTTGCTAGTTTGTCTCAAAATATTCGTAGCACCAAGTGACTAAAAAAAGGCTCTATTGCACAACAACAACACAAATAAAAGAAAGAAAAGAAAAGCACACTAGAGCACACGCAGATTAAAAAAGAAAAAAAAAAGAAAGAATTATTTTCTTTTGATCATTTCGAGAGTTTACTAATAACACGAATTAATGCAGCATTTTCTTCTTTTAGACGTGTATTGTCTGATTTAATTGAATCCATTTTCTGCAAAAACATATATATATATCGATTGAATATTAAATATAAGATCTTTACACTTACCTTTAAATCTTCTTCCAATTCAGAAATTTTTCGTTCATAAGCTCGTTTCTCCTAAAACAAAAATAGTCAAATTGAATCTATTAATAGTTATTTATCGAATATATTAGGGGAGAAAATCAGATAATTTCATAAAGTTAGAAATTGATTAAAGTCCCAGCTTTTACCCCCTTGGGTTTTTCTTTTCCAAAGAAATAATGATTGAATTTTACTCTAATTATTCTGTGTAAAGATGCTCTCTCGAAATATAACCGAAATTTGTCGTCCTGTATAAAGCAAATGACATTTGCACTTTGGATACCATGCAAATAATACAGTAGAGGAGTATCATCTTTCTGAACTCGATAAAGTTGTTAGGTTATGAAGGTTCTTTTGTATTACTAAAGGCACTATGTTATCATGTATATGCATATTGATTCCTGAGCTCTCTGATTAGAATCCAAAATTTAATAATCTGTTTAAAAAGAACGTCTAATCAAAGAGTTAAGAACAATACAGCACACTTTATAAAATCTCATGAGTAAGACTTTTGAAGGCATCAAAATATTCTACGAAAATATCGATGAACTTCTTTTTCCACCGATTATATCCTTCAAAAGTGTGAATAGTTAAGTTTTCTGTAACGTAAAAGAGTTCTTTAAAAGTATTATCTCTATTTCGTAACTAATCATTTGTGCTTACCCGTTTATCAAGTGATGATTCAATATATTGCGATGTTTTCTGAATAAAAAGAAAGGTACATAAACTTTTTTTTTCTTTATGTAAAAACATACAAGTTTTTCAATGATTTGATCTCGTTCTATAATATCTCTTTCATATCGATCAATTTTTTGATTTAATTCTTCCATTTTTCTTTTTGCATCATCATATAATTTCATCGCTGATGTATCATTATTTTCTTTTATTGAATTAATTCCATTTGTTGGTAATGAGTTTGACATTGATAAAGATTTTTTTAATGGTTCTTGACTTTGAGAACGATTTAATTTTGAATCTTTTGAACTATTTTCAAAACGAGATACAAGACCACGTGAACCAGTTAATACTGCTTGTTGATCATCAGAACCTTCACTCGATAGTTTTGGTGTTGTCTCATCTAGAATTTCAACTTCTTTTGTTTTCTAAAATACAAAATTCAAGTAATGAAATAAAAGAAAAATAAGAGAATAATTCTATTACATCATTCCATATAATTTTTCCTGTATTTTTTCTTTGAGTATGTACACGATTTGTTCGTCGTCGAGGTTCACCAATAGTTAATGAATCATTTGCAATTACTGTTGGAACATCGTCTAATTTTAATCGACGTGATGATGTATCCGTATTAATTTCATTTGTATCCTATTAAAAATAAAAATAAAATTATATGCTATTTAGTCTATATGTATATGTTTACTTCATTTCCACTTCCTTTACGAGCTTTATCTTTTTTCTCTTCAATAACTTTTTGTAAACGTTCAGTTTCAATTTCATTAGCTAAAGGTGTTGATGGTGCACCAATTTTATTATTTATTGATGGAATTTCATTCGGTCGATTTTTAATTTGTTGTTCAGCTGCTTTTATGTCTTCAACTGATACACTTTGAGTTGATCGACGTTCTCGTCGTGCTTGAGCTGAACGATGTTTACGTTGTGCTTCAGCTTCATCATCACGATTTGATCGACGTTTACCACCTGTCGGATCATCAAATGATGTTACAGTAACATTAGTTGTTGGTGGAGGAAGAGAACTTGTTACACTAACAATTGTCGATGGTGCAGCTGATGGAGTTGGTTCATTAATACCAGCACCAGATCGACGACGAACATAAGGACCTGTGTTATTTGGTATATCACCACCTACTGTTCGATCAGTTGTACCCCATCTAAATAAATAATGATTATATAAGAAAAAAGGAAAAATGTGTTCGAAGGTTGAGAAGAGTGCATGTGAATCTGAAATAATTGGCAGGCAAAAGACATGCATCGATAGTTTTGTTTTTTATTTTATTTAATCGACTTTAGGTTGTGATTATTGGTTAGAATATTGTGTATTAGTTGGTTAGAGTTTTTTTTTATGTTAGAAAAAAGAAAATACCTTCTGGGTAATGCCTCTGGCTGTGTCTGATTGACGCTAGAATAATAATGATTATTTAGAACGAAGAAAAAAAATCATACGATCTAACTTCATGCAATCAATTAAAGAATCACATCAAATATAAAAAAATTTGAAAAAAAAATGATGCATGCCTAATGCTCTCTGCCTACCTTCGATTGATTTTTGTATCCAATGGTTGAGAAGGGGTAGTTACATTATTTGTTGAATTCTCCTAGAAAATAAATATTCTCTAGATTTTCATTTTACACATGAACTCTTCTCATCAAAGAAAAAAAACATTTTCTTTTCTTAACTAATTCTGTCTACCTTCTCAATATCCCACGTAAACCTGATTTATTATTGTTAAAATTTGTATGTTGTTGTTGAGTATGTTCGATAGATGATAATGTTATCGGACGTGATAAAATCAATGGTTCACATGGCATATCCATTATAGTATCGAACTGGAAAAAGGATTACACGCACAGATTATTCAACATGCAAGACATTCATTATTCAAGCAAGAGGTGAAGAGCATATAATAATCTTATTCAATAGATTACGAAATAAGAGAAAACCTAATTGATACATATATATCTTCGAATTGATTATTTTATCTTACACGATTGAATGAATCATTATTATTTAAATTTATTGTCGTTAATGATTGTAATGGATTTGTATATATTCTTTGTGATGTTGATAATGAATATTTTGTTCCAAACCGAGATAAAGAACCATTCAAAATTGATAGACTAGATGAATTTTGTTTATTGAATGAATTTAATAATGTATTCGATGTTGGTGTCGACTAGAAAAAAAATCAGTAGTCATGCACAAGCACAGGAAGAAGAAGAAGGAAAAAACACAAACATGTCATGTCATTCATTCATTCATTCACATTCCAAAAATAAAAGCTAAGATATTTCAATTTTGTTACCTCATCTTGACTTGTTCTTGAATAACGATTACTTAAATCATGTAATGATCTTTGAAGATTATTTAATTTCTCCTAAATTAAATAAATAAATAAATAATATTTATTACTATATAGTAAGATAACAAACCTTAAGATTAGGTGAACAATTGGATAAATTCTCATCTATACTGGGCTAAAATAAATAAATATATATAGATAGATGAAGAATAGTTTTTTTTATATGGATCTACCTGAGCAGGTTTAGGTATTTTATCTAAATTCTCATTGTGTGATTCAGATCGTAAAATCGATCTTTGTTCATCAATTGCAGGTGATGGTAAAGTTCGTTTTATTACATCTTTTGGTTCATTCTATAATAAAATAAACTTTTTAAATATAAAATTGGCATTAATCGAAATTATTACCTTAACAGGAGGTTGTTTTGCTTTTAATTCTTTTAATAATTCAAGTGTTTCTCCATCACAAACATCAAGTGGTGTTTGTCCCTAAATAATCATTAACATTTCATATTTCCGTTTTTAAACTATAAAAAAAATTCAATTCTTCTTACTGCATAATTTTTTGCATCTATATTTGCATTTCTTTCAACAAGATATTTAAGAATATCATGTTTATCCCAATGTGCAGCCGCATGTAAGGGTGTCCAACCATCATTATCAACTGAATTTAAATTTGCACCAGCACGTATCAAAAGACTAAATATAAAAGATTTTTTATTATATTTTGATTAAAAAATAGAACGAAAAATTGAGAATTTGTTAGATTGAAAAAGAATCTTTAATATCTTTTCCTTTCTTCATACTTCATTAAATCGGTTTAATTAATTATTTAAATTTGGATAATGATCTTAGTTCGATTACTTTTTTTTGTTTTCAGAAAAGTCAATAAATTTATTTTTGTAATGATTAGCAGTATTGCATTTAGCTAATAATAGATTCTATAGAAGTTAGAAAAAACTAATTTATTCATGAATAAAATATTACATAAAGTTACTTATAAAGAAATATCTTCGGGACTAAAGAATAAATCACCTGAAGTCATTATGTAAAAGTTAAGAAATTTGAATTTTTTCTGTAGTATTTTTTTTGACATGATTTTCGTTATTATGATAGTTTAAATTTCCAGATTAGAAAAATAACTATTAAAGAAGGCATTAATATTGGTAATTCTCTTCTTTTTTGTTTTATATTTCGATAATCTATATCGTTTTTTAAATGAAATTGTTTTGTATGAATAACTTACTCGATAACATCCAAATATCCTTTTGCAGCAGCAACATGTAATGCTGTCGCACCTGTTCTTGAATGAACAATAGCATCTGCTGTTGATTTTAAACCATTCTTATTATTATTAAGTGAATCTTGAGCATGTTTAATCATTAATTGATGTTCATAATTTCTTGATTGTTGATCATCAATACCTTTCCTTCTCATATCTTCTTCCAAATATGCAATTATATCATCACCTTCAGCTATATCAATTGCTAATTCACCTTCATTATTACAAACATCAACAATAGCACCACGAGATAGTAAATATTTAACAATATCAAGATTTCCACACGATGCAGCTGCATGTAAAGGAGTCCATCCTTCATTATCTTGACAATTAATATCGGCATTTTTATTGAGCAAATATTCAACCATATGTAAATTATTATCAATACATGTTTGATGAAGTGCTGTTAAACCATCAATATTCGATGTATTTATATCCACACCACGTTGTAATAATTTATCAATTTCATCTCGATCTTCCGATGAACATGCAGCTAAAAAAATATAAGCTTGTTCAAATTTGACACGTTGAGAAAGTTTGATATTTGTAGATTGACGATTTGTTTCCGATTCATCCCATCGTCGTAGTTGTTCACGACGTTTTGCTATTGCACTTGATTGACGATTAACTTCGTCAGACAAAGAAAGATTTGTTCCACTTAACATTCGACTTTGGCTAGTTCATATTGATAAAGATAACAGAATAAACAATATCCATCAGCCATATTTATCAACAAGGTCAATGAGATTTTTTTCGGAAATTATTTTTTTTCTTAATTTCTCTGAAATTTTCTATGATTATTATTTTATTGAAAAACAAATAATATATATGATATATAAAAATATTTCGTTTATTATTTTTAATAATAAATGATATCGCTAGTTAACAATGAATAATCACTTACGAAATAATCTTACGTAAACTATTTTCGTTGTATATAAATATTATTGAAAGAAAAAAGAAACGTATTAAAAGTATACAATATGTCGAAAAAGTTTGGTATTAATACAAAATCAGCAGAAGCTCGTGCAAGAAAAGATGCTGTTAAAGAATCAAACAATCGTGATAAACAACAAAAATTAGAAGATGAATACTGGCGTGATGATGATAAACAAATACAAAAAAAACAACAAAGAAAAGTAAATTTGTCTTTTTAAAATATAAATAGAAAAATCTATGAAGAAATTAATTTTTTTCAAAGGATGAACGTGGATCAAAAAGAACATGAAAAATTACAACGTAAACAAGAACTTGCAAAATTAGTTGAACAAGAAGAAGCAGCTTTAACTGCATCAAAAGCGAAAGCAAAATCAGATTTAGCACCGTAAAAAATAACTCAAGCACAAATTCAACAAAGACAAGCTGCAGCTGCTACATCTACTGTTCCAAATCGTAATATTTCATTTTTCAATTATCATCTATGTATCATTAATTTATTTATAGAACCTAAACGAACTACTATTGATGACATTCCACTTGAAGAAAATATTAATCGTTTACAAATTGATGGTGCTTCAGCTCGAAATGTTGATGATGCTGTTCATGTGTTACGGTAAATAATTTTCAATTATTTTATTTGTTTCTCATAAAATCTAATTTATTGTTTAGATCAACTGAAGCAAGTGTTGATACTCATCCTGAAAAACGTATGAAAGCAGCATATGAAACATTTGAAAATGAAAATCTTCCAAAATTAAAACAAGAACATCCAACATTACGTTTATCACAATTAAAACAATTATTAAAAAAAGAATGGATGAAATCACCTGATAATTCATTTAATAAACCAACTAAAGCATATAATGAACTTGGAAATTCAAAACAATATAATTTACCGGAAGAAAAAGATTCTAATAATGATGATTAAAATTAAATATATATAGATAAATTATTATTTTTTATCTCGGGTTATATAATCAAAGATTAACAACTGCATATTAATATCATATTTTCATAAAAAAAAATAACTAAACATCTCTTTAATATATTTATATAATATAATTATGGATGATTACTAATAAGGCTTTTTTACACTATGTAAAGCTTGAATTTTGAAAAAAAATAAAAGATTGAGATGAATTATTGTAAAGAAATATAATTTCAAGATAATAATAGAATTCGGATTATTTAGATGAATTTGTGTTCTTTCGACGATGAAGAATTACAAGTAATTTTTTTCAACATATGAAAAATCAATTAAAGATATTGCATCATGTTCTTTTGAACTCAGAAGATTAGCGAATGACAATGACAATTATAAACTTGTCGAAACTGAAATGAGAATATTAGAAAATTTATTTCATACCCGAGAAGAATTTTGTTGTGCTAATCATTATTTTGCAATAACTCGAAATCTATAATGTATATCTCAATTGAAAATATCCTAGGATTGTATTAACTTAGATAGAATAAATATATGTACTCACATCCGAACAATGCTAAATGCGAAATTTGTTCATAGATGAATTTGAAATTTAAATAATACATGATGTACAATAATTTCAAATATTTTATATGCGCCGAGTAGGACGGAAACTTCATGCAAATAATGCATAAATATAAATAAATGATGATAATAGAATGACTACGAAGAATTTACAAAATATTTAACTCTAAAAAATAAATGTATTTTCTTGCACAGATTCGTTAATAAAGATTGATAAGTATATTGAATAGAGTTTCATATTTGCAATTGTACGCTCGACACAAATAGTGTTTATTATGGTTGACAACGAAGTCATCGAGTCTCATCATATGAAAATAGTAAGATTAATGAAGTTCCTAATTCCGCAATTCACCATTTCGTTACTGTGTTAGCCGCACCCACACCCACGCCCTCAGTTATTTCTGGTGTCTACTGTTGCGTTATATAGAATCACCAAGAACTTGTGTAAATACATAAACTATTCCAGCACATGGATTCATAAGATGAAGAATAAACTTTTCTTCTTTTTCGTTACAAATGGTAAAAAACGAAATCATACTATTACTATTCTGTAACAACAACAAAAAACGACGATCTCTTTCCTTCTCTGACATTGGTTGGAAAGAAATACATGAAATCATTTTGAGTGCATTGTTGAAAAAGGAAGTAAATGTTTTTTCTTTTACATTTGACAATAAAACAATCACTGAAATGGCTACAGTTTTATCAAATATAACATTCGAAAATGAAAATTTTGAAATTTATAGTTTAATCTGGCTTGATGCTTTGGTAAATAGTTCACAAGAAAATCGTCGAGCACAAAAACAACTTCGAACATCAATCAATCATTTATTATCATTCGAAGATGATCAACTCTGTTTCGATTATCTGAAATCTCGAGAAAAAGATGATCGAATTATTTTTATTGTTAGTGGACAGTTTGGACAAACTTTTATTCCGAAAATCGTTCATTTTAGACATATTATTGCTATTTATGTTTATTGTTTTAATAAAGATTTTCATCAACAATGGGCTAAGAATTATTCAAAAGTAAATATATAAATAAAAATCAGATAATATTTTTACTTTACAAAAAAAATCTTTTGTATTTAGATTAAAGGTGTTCAGACGAAATTAGATATCATCATAAATCAAATTAAATCCGATCAAAATCAACGACAACATTCGAAAATTAGTGAAGCTTTATCGATTAAAATATTTAATTCAAATACAAAAATTGAAGGACAATCAACAACAAGTGATTTAGATGGTCAATTTCTTCATTCACAAATATTAATTGAATGTCTTATTAAAATCAAATTAAATTCTCGAGATGAAAAAGAACTTATTTCTTTATGTAAACAATATTATGAAGGTAATGAATATGATTTAAATATTGTAAAAGAATTTCAAACAAATTATTTACCTGAAAAATCTATATGGTGGTATACACGTGAATCATTTCTATATCGTATATTAAATAAAGCACTTCGGACGCAAAATATTGATTTACTTTATTTATTTCGTTTTTTTATTTATGATATTGAACAACAATTAGAAGAAAATAAATGTAAAAATCCAGTTCGTGTTTATCGTTCTCAATTAATGTCCAAAGATGAAGTTAGAATATTAAAAACATCTATTGGAAAAATTATTTCAATAAATTCATTTCTTTCAACTAGTTCAAATGCTGAACGTGCTCGTTGCTTTTTTTCATGCGTTGATTTATCTGATGATTATGAAAAAGTATTTTTTCAAATAAATGCTGATCCTCGAATTGATAATATTAAAGCATTTAGTAATATTACATCATTAAGTTATTATTCAAATGAAGAAGAAATTTTATTTATGATTGGATCAATTTTTAAATTAAATAATGTTCTTCAAGATACTGATGGAATTTGGATTATTCAAATGAGTTTGTGTTCGTTTGATGATGAACAATTACAAGCACTTTTTCAACATATGAAAAACCAATTAGGTAAAGAAGAAACAAATCTTCTTAAATTTACTCAAATATTAAAAGATATGGGAAAATTAGAAGAAGCTGAAAAATATATTTTTCGTTTACTTAATCAACTTTCAAAAGATCATAAAGATATTGCATCATGTTATTTTCAATTGGGAGGTATAGCACGTTGTAAAAGTGATTATGATTTAAGTTTAGAATGGCTCAATAAATCTCTTCAAATCAGAATGCAAACATTAGAATCAGATGATCCAATTATTACATCTAATTATAACGCTATAGCGATGGTTTATCGAAAAAAAGATGACTGTAAACGTGCATTAGAAGCATATAATAAAGCATTGGTTATATACAGAAAAGTATATGATGAGAATCATCCGACTGTTGCTCTGTGTTACAATAACATTGGTAATATTTATAAAAAAGAGAAGAAATATTCTGAAGCATTAGTTTCTTATCAAAAATCACTTTCAATTCGAGAAAAATGTCTTCCTGCTATTCATTCTCATATCGGTAGTTCACATAATAATATTGGTACGCTTCAACATATCTTACGTAAGAACGACTTAGCACTGGAACATTTATATAAAGCACTTAAAATTTACAATAAAGCTCTTCCATCACAACATCCTGATATTGCAATAGTATTAAGGAATATAGGTGTTGTTTATGAAGATAAAAACGATTTGAAGCAAGCGTTGTTCTATTTTAAAAAAGCAGCGGATATTTATCGTCAATTATTTATACCAACGAATTTTGATGTTATTCAGATCGAAAATGATATTCAACGTATTTTAAATCGACAAGAAGAACTCATTTGAATTATTTCTGTTTTTGTTTTTAGTAAATAGAAATAGTTCGAAATAATCTCTTCGTTATTTTACGAGAGAACTTTATCAACTGATACTCTCTATTCGAGCTCATATATAGTACAAATAAAAACCTCACAAGGTTTCATGCTATTATCGTTTTATTTAGAAATATAAATTGCGGGTACAAATTAAATGGTTAGTTTTTTATTTATAATAATATTGAAAATATTAATGAACGGAAAAACAATAATAAAAAAGTATTAAAGATCAATCGACAGATATACGATGGTGATCATCTATCTGTATTAATATATACGAAAAGCGACACAAATATTCACAAGTAACGCTCGACTTCTAGTTTGAGTTCCTCGATCTCGATTATCCCTTTGGTCAAGTTTATGGAAAATAATATTTCTCCGTTGAGATACGGATACACATTATCTTTTTATAAATATAGATCATTAATTATTTCATTTTTTCTTAAAATTTTTAACTGAAATTGATCGAAATATGCGTGAGAAATCTTCATAACATTAGTATAGAAAAACAAAAATGTTCATGTTTAAAAATATAAAATCTCTCCAATTAATATTTATTGAAAAATTTCAAAAGCAAAAAAAATATAAATTTTTTAAATAGATTTCAGAATTGTTGTATTTGGTCGCCGTTGATCGGAACTAAATAAATTTAAAGAAAAAATCATTATTCTAATTTTAATAGATAATATACATACATAAATTTAAATTCTTCAGGTAAAGCAATTTGTTGTTGTCTCATACGATTTAATTGATTTTGTAAATCGTGTACATTTGTTCCATAACCATTAAAAATTGAATCACCAAAAATAAGTCGTCCATTTTGATAAATAAGAACAAAACCAGGTTGAACATGATGTCGTCGAACAAGTAATGGTCCTTGAGAATGACTTTGTTTACTTGCTTGAGCTAAATCATATATTAAACAACGATAATCATCATTTGTTGATAAACGACATGAACATAATTGACTACGACCAGAATAAAGATGATAATGTAAACTTTGAAGAATTTCATATAATTCATTTGTTTGTTCTTTTTCAAAATGACGATTATTCGAATTTGTTATACCTATAACAACTAATTGACGAGAATTTAATTGATTTGTTAAACTAATAAATGCATCAAATTCAAGATCATGAATTAATGGTACTTGATCAGCACGACATGTACATGCATCATATAAGATTGTTGATATGGGATTATCTTGAAGTAGACGTTGACGAATCAAAGTAGGACAAGCAAATGGAAGATCAAGTGACATTGAGCTAGCTGCTTCACTGATATTCGAATTAGATCTAAATAATTTTAATAAAAATTACACATGTTTATATTAATGCGGAAAATATTTAGAATGAAGTTCAAATTTTACAGTTAATGATCGCAATCGAATACCAATTAGACTTCGAATTTTTTCTACATAGCGGTTACTCAGTACTATCTTGCCATCTTATGATTGATTCAAAAAAAGCTTATAGAATCTTTATCTTGCATCAAACAATGATGATTATTATTTACTTAATTGCTGGTAGAACTGTTGAGGGCATAAATCTCTTTGCATTATATTTTTGTTTCATAGCTTTTCCATGTTCTGAACGAGGCGTAAATTGCATCATTGTACTTTCAATAATATCCGCTAAAATAAATTGAAGAAAACAAAATTTTTAAATTATATATTTTCTTAAATTTATAATTTACGATCAGATTTTCTTGCTGAATTTGTTCGTACGATATCTTCTTTTTCACCTGGTTGAAGAAATTCACTATTGACTGAATCACGTTTGGATGACATTGATACATGTCGTGGTGATTTAACACCTCGGAGTTGGTTAAATTTCATATTTGAAATATTAAAACGATTAGATGAATATGCCTCTGTGACACCTAATATCAAAATTTATAAATAGACAAAAAAGAAAAGAAGAAATTCAATTCATTTATTTTACCTAATGCTGTTCGACATTCTTTTAACCAATTATTACAAAGAGTTTTAAAACGTTTCTTTATATTTGTTAATTCTTTCATCATCGGTAATTCTTTGATATTAACTTGTCCATCTGGTAATTTTTCTGGTAGAATTTGTGGTCTCTCAGAATTTAATGATAATTCACTTGAATGTGTTGAACTAGAAACAATTGTTGACAATTTTGATTTTGATTGACGTCTCCTATCTGCCGAGTTCTTTTTTGTTGAAGCTATTGTTGTTTCAGTTGAATTTTGTATCTGTGTTGCAGGATCAGCACCTAATTGAAATTTAAATTCTTCTTTATGACATGAAAATGCAAAACGTATATTTATTGGATTATAATATTCAAGTTGCATATAAGGATTTAATTGTAATTGAACAGTACTATC